CCCCCCCCCCCTGCTGTTCATGCTGTAATTATAGCCTCGTAACTAGTCTCACTGCCTTGGTGCCCCTCTCTGAGCCATTGTATTTACTACTGACAGTATGCAAACCAAAAATGCAAGCTGGTGAAATACTTTGCAGTCAAAGTTCCCATCTGTATAAAAAAGCAGTGGTACATTTACACAGTGGAATACTACTCAGCTGTTAAAAAAAAAGAAGACAGAATCTTACCCTTTGGGACAGCGGGGATGGACCTGGAGAGTATTACAATAAGTGAAATAAGCCAGTCAGAGAAAGACAAGTACCATATGACCTCATATGTGGAATCTGATGAACAAAAGAAACTGATGACCAAAATAGAACCAGAGGCATGCGTACACGGAACAGACTGACACTAGGCGGTGGGGGGCAAGGGAGCGCTAGATGAAAGAAGGTGAAGGGATTAGCCAAAAAACATACATAACACATATACACAGATAACAGTGTGGTAATAGCCAGAGGGAAAGGGGGCTGGGGGTAGGTGGAGGTGGGCAAAGGGGGGGATAAATAGGGACAGAAAGAGACTTTGCTTTGGGCGATGGGTGCAAGATGCAGTGTGCAGATGATGTTGTGTTGATTGTACACTTGAAATCTGTATGGTTTTGTGACCAGTGTCACCCCAATAAATTCAATTTAAAAATAAATTTTAAAAAAAGACTAGACTAATGGATTTTAAAAAATCTTCAGGGCAGACAGTTGCTTATAGAGTGGCCCATATTCCTTAGCCTGGCAGTCAGGTGTCCATTATTTGGCTTCAACTCTCCTTTTCTACTCAGTATTCCTACAATCAGGCCAATATTTTCACACTTATTGATTGATTGATTTCAGAGAGAGGGGGAGAGAGAAACGTCAATGATGAGACAGAGTCATTGGTAGGCTGCCTCCTGCATGCCTCCCACTGGGGATGGAGCCCGCAGCCCAGGCATGTGCCCTGAGTGGGGATCGAACCACGATCACCTGGATTCTAGGTCGATGCTCAACCACTTGGCCACACTGGCTGGGCTATTTTCACACTTTTAAATCTTCTCAGCCTGGAATCCCTTGGTCATCTTAATAAACAAAGCCATGCTTTCCTTTTTAAACTCAGTTCAAATACGGTCTCCTCCACAAAGCCTTTCTCTTCAAACCAAATTCCTCTGGGTTCCTACAGCCCTTCATTTACACATCTATTTTAAGTTTATTTGCTTTTATGTTGCTTATTATAGTTGATTATTTTCTTATATTGCTGCCTATGAATTTAAACTCCCTGAAGGCAGTAAATCATCTTATTTTTATATACCTTATCATTTCTGGCTTAAGTATTGTTTCACATATAGTAGGAACTTAATAAGTATCACACTACTCAATTGACTTGAATAGTGCCTACACATGGATGCTCAAAGAATATTTGTTAGTAGAAATCAGTGCTGTAGACTTACATTTTGGTGATTTGAATTTGATCACTTCAATGAGAGAAAAAAGTGGCATCCAGAAAAAGAAACCTTTATGTGGAATGATTTCAGGAAAGCCAGAAAAAAGAATGCCCAGTATTTGGGGAATGGCTTAGTGATATGACAGCTCCTTTCCTACCCTCTTTCTAATTGCTCACCTAGAAATAGGGCCTAGCATTGAAAGTAAATGAGCCAAGGGGGCACAGAAAGGCTCAGCAACCTGAATCTTGCACCAATGGTTGCCTGCACTGTTGTGCACCATATTTCTTTTAATAACTTTTTCCTGATTATAAAAGTAATGCATGCAGAAAGTTACAATGAAGAAACCAAGAACTGCCTGTACCCTATTGTGGCAAATGCATTTTCTAAAAATGGCTGCAGCAGCATCTACTATCACACATGCTTTCCTGCAATGTGACCTCGACACTCTCCCAACAAGAAGTGGAAGGTGGCCCGGCCGGTGTGGCTCAGTGGTTGAGTGTGGACCCATGAACCAGGAGGTCATGGTTCGATTTCCAATTGGTTAGATATGCCAAAGTTGCGGGTTCGATCCCCGGTGAGAGCACATACAAGCAACAACCAATAAATGCATAAGTAAGTGAAACATTTCTCTCTTTCTGTCTCTCTCTTTCAAATCAATCAATAAAAATAATAATCCCTTTCAGAATGTGGTATCAGGAATATTACCCACTTCTCAATGAGGATTCTGAAGCACATTGTTTCTCCCTTCTTATTTTGAAATACAGGAAGTTTGGGCACTGTAAGTACATTTATCTCCATTTATTTCCCTTATCCTTCATAAGATTTTGGGTCTTTTGTCTGTCTTGAATATATTTCATATTTTAAATAAAAGCTGCCATAAGTCTTGTTTGAATAAGAGGAATAGGCTGAGTATAAGAAAGACATAATTCTGGTTTGATGAATAATTCTGCCCCTGGAGCTCTTTGAAGGCAGCCGCATTGGGATGTGGGTGTGCCTGTGGAGAGGGTGTTGGCTGCCCTTTGCCACACTCTTCAGACACCAAGCCACCTACTGAGCCCTGGGTTAATATTCCCTGGGGCCCAGCAATGCATGGGAGTGTCTTCAGTTGCTCCACTCCCCTTCTTCAAAGCTGAGGTTGAAAGCAAGCAGCTCTCTGTGGGAACTTCACTGGAGCACTCAACAGAATTCTAGATGTGGAGTTCATTGCAAAAAGTCAGACGTAACATCATCATTTCCCCACCTACAAAGCCTGGAGACGTAGAGTCAGCAGCTGGAGAGTGCTCATGGGGAGCAATCAAACTTTGGAGGATGGAAGAAGGCATGATTAACAGAAAAGTGTGCAAAGCAGGGCCACGTCCTCTAATACTGGCACTCGCCCTTGCTGCCTAAATGTGGTCTCTGAGTCTGACCTTCCCCTCCGTGGGGCTCCCAACCCTCCCCAGAGATATACAGTCTTTTGGGGACTTCACCTGTCCAGAGGCAGTCAAGTCACCTGTATTTGTTCCCATTTACTCCCACGAGGCACTGGGGCACATTATGCAATTTAAATACCAACATAAGAAATAAAAATCTCTCTCTTTGTTGAGGTCTGTATGGAAAAGTTTGGGGACCTCTCCTGTCTCACCTCTCCTAATTCTTTCCATTTCTAGTGGTCTTTTCTTATTTTTATCTCCTCTCCCCTTCATCCTGGAGGGAGATGTGGGGAAGTGGGGCTACAGGTAACCCTAAACCTGGCTGGAGTGAGGTGTAGTGTGAGACACCCTGCAGGAACTGAGCATGGATTAGGCACTGGGTTTGGGTAGATCTGGAGGTGGGAGAAGGCAGCCTTTTGATCAGCTATCCAT